CGAGGTGAAGAAGCAAGTAGGGCCCAGAAACCACAGAAGTTTTGTCCTCGTCTCAGTCTGTTTCCCTGCTGTGACAGAGTAGCCGGGACGGGCAACTTTTAAAGAAAAGAGATTTAGTCAAGCTCATTGGTTTGGAGGCTGAAAGGCCAGACAGCACGGCGCTGGCTCTGGTGAGGGACCCCCTGGCTCTGCCCCCTGGTGGTGGGTGTGAGGAGACAAGCTCACACTGCCCGATGGAGGGCCGACCAAGGAGCTCCATGAAGCTACGACCTTTTCTAACAACCTGCTGACTACAACTACCAGAGTCCCGGGATCTCCAGATCTATGCCTTCCAAGGCAGCGCCCCCAGAGACCTAACTCCCCTCCTAAGGGTCCCCTACCTCTTCGCTCTGCCACACTGGGGACCGAGCCTCCCACCATGAACCTTTGGGGGATGCACTTAAACTCTCTCCACACTGGGGCTGACCTACTTTTGGTTTTCATTTGTCGGTTTTGCGAGGGGGGAATTGTGTGTGTGATCAACATGAGAAGTAGCAGTAGAGAAAAGCGTGGACAAGGAGAGGGATAAGCAGCCTCCCTGTGCCCTGAGGGGTTTGGGTGCGGTCGGTGATGAGGGTGACTAAGAGAAAGCCATCGTTTCCACAACAGCAGACAGGGGGGCGCCTTTGTGAGTTGGAGTGCAGTGGAGTTAAGTGTGTGTTTAGATGGGTTTTTGCTGTAGGCCAGTGTGTGTTTTGTGTACAGACAGGACTACTCAGACATTTAATTTGGTTTCAACAGTTAGCATTCAGTTTATTAAGATTTCAAATCAACAACTCAGCTCGCAAATCTTACTCTACTTAGAGGTTTAGCAAAATCTGACAATTTAATCTAAACAAAATATAAATAAAAAAAGTTTTTGATGGATGTTTGGCTCTTTTTATCAACTCAGACATGTTAGAGTATTTTAAACTGCCTTTAAACATGTAATATATTCTATTTCCTTTTTAAGTGCCTCATTTATCTGCTTATATAAAACCTTGCTGAGTCCTTAATAATTGTTATAAAGCTGTTTAATTAAATTTATAGAGTGGACTTAAAGGCTTTGTAAATGTTATAATAGTATGCATAAACTTAGAATGATTTCAGCTTAAAATTAAAATTCTAATAATTCAGTTATTCACTTTAAATTGGTTTTCAAAAATTGTCACACTCATAGATCAAATTCCTTAGCTGTTAGCAGGACAGACGAGACCCAAGTGAACACACAAATATTAATAGCAGGGCTTTGACACCTTAAACTTTTCTATATTAAATTTTAAATCTTCCCAGAGTTGAGTGATGAAGAAAAATAGTTGGTAATAACTGAAGCCGTTTTCAACCAGATGTGTTGATAGAGCTGCAGGCGTGCGGGGCACCTGACTCCCTCCAGGCTGTCATTCTGAGTCCCTGTTTGGAGGAGCTGTGCCATGAGGGTTGGGGCCACCCACATCCCTGAGCACAGTTTATACACACGGCCTTCCCTGCATCTACTCAAGGACGCAGGACAATCCGTGATCTTTAAGATGGGTTCATGTATTTTCCATCTAAATGTTTAAAGACCTTTACATTTGACAGAGTTCTGAGATTTGTAAATATTTTTGTTTTTAGAACTTCGTTCCCTTTAAAATTTTATTTCAGAAGCAAAGAGAGAGAAGGAGAGGGAGAGAGACAAAAACAGACAGAAATCTTCCATCCACTGGTTCACTCCCCAAACGCCCACAACGACTCGGAGTGGGACCAGGTTGAAGCCAGGAGCCCAGGACTCAATCCGGATTTCTCCTGTGAGTGCCAGGGACCCAGTCCCTGAGCCACTGTCCCCCAGGGTATACATTATCAGGAAACTGGAATTGGAAGTAGAACCAGGGCTTGAACCCAGGGACTCCAGTATGGGATGTGGTGTCCTAAGTGGCACACTAACTGCTGTGCCAAAAGCCTGCACCTGTGAATATTTTTGTGTCTATTGATATCCTTAACTTGATAGCCTAAAATAAAATTTTTTTTCTACATCATCTACATCTACATCATCTACCTGGCCTTTGAATGGGATACCAGATATATTTATGTCTTCCCCATATTCTTAGGACAACACAGTGGTCTTAGATGTTTAAATCATCACCAGTAGAGTTTTGGATCTCCCACCCTTGATCAGGCTGAGTCTGGTTTGCTCCCCAGTAAGAAGTCATTCTTCTGAGAGTTTACGGGGAGGGGCAGGAGATTCCGAGAGACCTCTCATCTGATGGCTTCGTTTTGTCTGTGAATTAGGACTTGAAGTGGTCTGTTTACAGACCTGGGGGGTATATGGAGAGAAGGTGAGAAAAGAGTTTTAAAATAACTGAATTTGATAACTAGAGGTCAGAATCGATGTTTACTGCCCATTTTGGAGATAATATGTATGCTGAGATATATTTGTAATTTTTTTCTTAACCTTTATATGTTTTTATATTAAATGTGTGCTTTTAGACATTTGAATATTTGCCTTTGATATCAAATATTCTTTGTAGTTGATCAAGAAGTCACAAATCAGTCAAAAGATTTTATTAATAAAGCAGTTGAAGGAGTCACTTATTATACAGCAGAAGGTTCTAAACTCATTTAACATTTATTCCATGTGCTAGTCAATTACCAGCTGTCAGAACATATTAAATATTGTAAATTTCAGTCAGAAGCTGTCACTCCTAAGTATATTAACTCCTCCTAATCATAGGTAGCGATCTGTCCTGTGAAAGGGTGATATTAATCACCCACTTCCATCTGTCTTCCTGATGTTACAAAATTGCCACTGGGTTCCATTGCTGAAGTGAGGAATATCAATGTAGACATCAACAATGAAAGCAGGCTGTCGGGAGTCACGAGTCTTTCCATTCATGTTAACAAGCTTCTCATTGTTTCCAGATGGAAAGGGAAAAAATGACAGCCAGCTTACAAAGCTCTCCACTCCTTAGTCTTACAAATGAAGCTTCTTATGATCACTGGCTAACATTTGTGGAGCATTTATTATGTGCCAGGTGCTATGCCCGCAACTTCCTGTGAATGCTTTCTTTTAATATCAACAATAACCCTGTGAGGTTATTAGTTCTTGTGCTTACGGTTCTTATAGTACAGTGTCTCATATTGTATGATGAGGAACTGAAGGCTTCAGAGATTGAGTAACTTAGTTCCTAGAAGTAGCAGAATTCAAGTCAGACACAGGCAATTTCATTCTAGAACTCTGTCCACACTGATGGGTGGTATTGGGTATTGGCCTGCTGAGTCAGTTAGGAATGCATTTGGATGCAAGTAACTAAAATCCAACACATAGTAGTTTACAGAGGACCAATTTTTTCTTACTTAATAAAAAAAATGGAGAGGGGCAGCTGCTCATGTTGGTTTAATTATTCAGCAGTGCCAGGACAAGTGACGATTACTTAGCCTAATAACAGCAAATATGAATGCTTTAGTTTCAAGTACCATGTCCACGTTCAAGCCAGGAAGAAGGGAGAGGATAAGAGTTGGCCTAGCCATGACTGCTTAATTTATCATGAAAGCGACAAATTTCCCATTTATTCCTGAATGTCTCATAGATCAAAAAGTTTCACATGGCCACTGCTCTCTGCAAGGATGGAAGACAGCCAGGGAGAAGGAAGCTGAGGGTGACCCATGGACCAGACTTGAGTCAGAAGTAACAGAACACGCAAGCTCCATAGGAATTTTTCACTTCCTCCCTAACTTACTTTCCCTCCTCCCTCCCTTCTTCCCTCCCTCCACCCCTCTCCTCTCCATCCAACTTCCTTCATTTTGTGAGTGACAGAGCTGTGCTTCTCCAAACAGCAAACTCCTAATGTGTTTATTCTTGCCTTGTTTGGGGGCCCAGTCAGTCAGAGAAATGTGTGGTTCCACTAACTGAGCCAGGTCTCCATGTCTGCAAGTGACAGAAACTACTGCACACCCAACTGTGAAAATGAATGAATTTTTACAATTTATGCAGCAAATATATTCCAGGCACTCTTCTAGGCTCTGGGGCTAGATCAGTAAGCAAAACATTTTTTAGAATAAAGAGTGAGCCAGAATCTGAGGGAATCTGACAGAAGCCAGAGATGAGGGTGGAGCAGGGCCTCTGGCGGGGTGGAAACCAGGGGCTGCGAAGCTGTCGGGGATGCACCACTTCCCCGCAGGTGTCTCCTCACCTGTGCACTCTGTGTGCCTTTATTCTCAGTGGAGAGGTGGATAGAATACAGTCGCCCCGCATAGCCCGACTTGTCTTCTGTTCAAGCAGAGAGTTCTTGCTGAGCCACAGTTTCTCAGTCCTGATTCCAAAAACCCAGGCCAAAAAAAAAAAAAAAAAGCCCTCCACGGAGGCCAGGGACAGTCTATCACCAGGAGAGAGAGGCTGTTACAGGACGTCTCGAATCAGAGCTCTCTGTGGCTGCTCCCCGTCTCCAGGCTGGCTGATGCCGGTCTGGTCGCTTTGCCCAGCATCCATGCCAGAGCTCCCGCCTGCCACCCCTAAGGTTTGACAGCCAACGCTACCTTGAAGACTGCATTGGTTTAGCTCTGTGCAAGCTACCTGGGTCAAGGTTGTCTTGGACATTTTCAGACCACTCTTGTGCCCTCATGTCTGTGTCTCCCACCTGATCCACCGCCACCGCCACCCCCACCCCCACACGCAGCCCTTGTCCCTGTCGTCCAGAGAAAATGGAGAGCATGCAGGCTTCCATAGCGTCAGGCTCCCCTCTCATGAGAAACCAGGCCCTCAGAGGCCAACAGCAGCACTGGTAGTTCAGTTCCCAAGTGTGCATTGCAGTGTGGGGTGGGATCTACTCTTTTTTTTGGGGGGGGGGGTGGCTGGATATATTCTTACAACCCTTCTAAACTCTAGCCATTGAGATGTGCTGCTGGTGATTTTTTTTTTTTAAACCTTCTCTTTGTTTCAAACCAATGGGTGCTTTTCCATTGAGGGTTAAACTGGATTGCTGACCTGCAGCTAATGTGTTTCTCCACAGGCCATGGACTCGGCTCCGCAGGGAGGAGGATGGGCAGGCTGGGGCTCCTGGGGGAAGTCTCTGCTCTCGTCAGCTTCGGCCACAGTAGGTAAGCAGTGCGCATGCCCCTGCAGTGCAGGTCAGCCACGGTGTTTACTGGGCCAGAGACTCATGGAGCTGAACCCTGGCCCAGGAGCGAACTGTTTTTAGTGCTGGCTGTTCTGAGTGCTTCAAACATGCTGATACCCTCAGTCCTCAAATAGCCCTGCAGGGGGGGCTCTTATTTCCTCCATGGGACAGGTAAGGAGGCTGAGCCACAGAGGCTAAGACTGTTCAAGTCAGCAATGTCAATGTCAGGGTTGGGATTTAAAGACCATGTATATGGCTTTTTTAATTGGATATTTTGCATTTTTATTTATTTTGATTTTATTGGAAAGAGAGAGAGAGAGATCTTGCATTCACTGATTCACTCCCCAAATGCCTGTAATTGCCAAGACTGGGCCAGGCAACACTCATGCACCCAGAATTTAGTCAGAGTCTCCCACATGGGTGACAGGGACTCAAGAACTTGAGCCTTCACCTGCTGCCTCCAGAGTGTGCGTTAGCAAGAAGCTGGATCGGAAGTGTAAGAGTCAAAACTCAAAACAGGCACTCTCATGTGGGATGTGGGTGTCCCAAATGCCTGCCCTGCAGCATGGCTTTGCTGTTTGATTGTTTGTTTGTTTAAGATTTATTTCTTTGAAAGTCAGGGTTACAGGAGGGCAGCGTGGGGGAAGAGACAGACAGACAGGAAGACCAACAGAGATCATCCATCTACTGGTTCTTTCCGCAAATGGCTACAACGGCCGGGCTGGGCCAGGCTGGGCCAGGCTGGGCCAGCTCTCCCATATGGGTGGCAGGGACCCAAATGCTTGTGCCATTTTCTGCTGCTTTTTCCAGGCTATTATCAGAGAGCTGGATTGGAAGTGGAGCAGCTGGAACATGAACCGGTGCCCATATGGGAGGCCAGCATTGCAGGCGGTGGCTTTTACCCACTATACCATGACACTGGCCCCTGTAACTAGGCTTTTAACTACTATATTATCTTGTCTCTTAAAATATACAATTTGGGCTTTCATAATATATTCTTAAACCTTGTGTTTATCTTCCCACTTGAAATTTTTAAAGTAGATACAACTTGCCTACTCCCTAAAAGGATTTAAGATGTCTTAATAAAAGGCATTTCATCCGCAGGATTTAAAATACAAATTGAAAACGTATCCCAAGGCTATTCGTTTGACTTCCCAAAAGCCCAAAACAGCAAGAGCTGGCCAGGCCAAAACCAGGAAACTGGAACTCAGTTCAGTTCTCCCACATGGGTGGCAGGGACCCAAGTTCTTGAGCCATCACCTGCTGCCTCCCAAGGTGTGCATTACCAGGGAGCTGGAATTTGGAGCAGAGCTGGGACACGAACCCAGGCCCTCTGACAAGGTATGCAGGCGTCCCGAGGAGCAACTTAGCTGCTTCGCTAAGTAATATGGTCACCAGAATTATACAGCTCTCCCCATGGTCTGTATCATGAAACGGTAAAGTGTGCCCAGGATGCTTCCAGGGTAAGGTTTCTCAAACTCCTCCGGCTTATCATGACTTCTGGCCTCAGGAGGTTCTGCTATAGATGAAGGTGTCTCTCTCATCACCATTTTAAATAGAAGTTGCTTCCACAGTGAAGGCAGAAGTGGGGGTGCTTTCTGTGTACGCTGAGAGGTGCACCTGCTGAGCTGCTCCGCCCCAGGCTGCTCAGACTGCTTGCTATTGTTTCTATCGGTGGCTGTACCCTGTCATTTGACTTTAGGCTTCACTGGACCCTTGAATGGGTTTCCATCCATGGAAGTTTCCCCATTGCATTTACTGTCTCACATCTTTGAGGTCTGCTGTTGTGATGTGACCTTGGCCCACGTGCAACCTTGCTGCAAGGCGTCTGGGTTTTGTTCTGTAGGTCAGACATAGCCAATAGATGACGCTGGCCTTCCTGCTTCAAAGGCAGCATGTGGTTTCCGTGCCAGGCCCCGGGCCACACAGGTAGACGCTCAGCTTTTGGTATGATCTGAAGTCAGTGTCTTATTTTTCATAGGTACAACTTTAGGAATATAGTGGTTCTTTTCCTTATACCCACCGTCCCACCCCGACTCTCGTCCCACCTCCTACTCCCTCTCCCATCCCCTTCTTCTTTATGGTTCATTTTGTTTGATTTTATATACAGAGGACCAACTCCATGTTAAGTACAGATCTCAACAGTTTGTACCCACACACATACAAAACATGTAGAGTACAGTTTGAGAACAAATTTTGCAGTTAATTCTCATAGTACAACTCATTAAGGATGGAGGTCCTTTATGGGGAATAAGTGCATAGTGACTTCTGTTGTTCCTTTAACAATTAACACTCTTATTTATGACGTTAGTGATCACCCAAGGCTCTTGCCATGGGCTGCCAAGGCTATGGAAGCCTTTTGTGACCACAGACTCCATCAGTATTTGGACACAACCATAAGCAAAGTGAATGTTCTCTCCTCCCTTTGGAGAAAAGTACACCCCACTTTGATGGCCCCTTCTTTCCACTGGGGTCTCACAGAGATCCTTCAGCTAGGATATTTTTTGCCACAGAGTCTTGGCTTTCCATTGGCATTGCTCTTGTTGCTTGTCTGTGTCTAAGGCACCAAGAAGATGATAAAATATTGCATCGTGTCACCCTTGCAACCACGTCACAGATCGCGTGGTTCCCTCCTGGCTGTGTGTAGTACTTGACCCGGGGTTGCCCAGTGAGAATTGCCCGAGGACCGTGACCCCATGCTGGTCACAATGGCCACTTCCCCTCTTGCAGTTGGTGAGGATGTGGAATCTCTGAGATTGTAATACGTGCACAGTGCCCCGTGAGCTAGCAGGGTGGAGTCCAGCATAGCCTCTTGCATTAGCTTCTGTTGCTGTTAGGAAATTACCACAGGGCCCCGTGTTGTGGTTGTTGCCTGTGATGCCCACATCCCGTATGGGCACCAATTCAACCCCTGGCTGCTTCACTTCTGATCCAGCTCCCTGCTCTGGCCTGGGAAAGCAGCCGAGGATGGCCCAAGTGCTTGGCCTCCTCCACCCATGTGGAAGACCCAGAAGAAGCTCCTGGCTCCTCATCATTGTAGCCAACTGGGGAGTGAACCAATAGATGGAAGATATGTCTCTCTCTCTCTGTCTTTGCCTCTCTGTGTATGTAACTCTGACTTTAAATAAATAAATCTTTAAAATTAAAGAAATTACCATGAACTTAGAGGCTTACAACAACACATGTTATTTTCTAGTTTCCTTGGGCCAGGAGTCCAAGTTCAGGCCAGCTTCTCAGTGTCTTTCCAGCCTGCATCAAGGTGTGCACCTGCCTGAGGTCACCCTGTCTGAGGTCACCCTCGCCTGCACCAGCACAGTGGCTCCTGCTGGCAGGCAGGAGAGGGACGCCAGTGGTTCTGGGCAGCTGGCACCTCTGCTGTCACAGGACCGGCTTTCAGGCTAGCACAGGTGCTGGGCAGCACTCGGTCCCTTGCAGCTGTGGGACCGATGTAGCCCTTTTCTTACTGGCTATTGGCTGGGGAGCTCCTGGAGGCTGCCTGCAGGTCCTTTTACAAAGTGCAGAAGAATCTCTATTGTGCTGAACTCTAATCTCTCCCTGCAGGAAGGGCCTGAACCCTTTTCAGAGACTTGTCTGTTTGGTTCAAGTCCAACCGGGGCTGTTCTCTCTCTTTGATGAACTCAAATTGAACTGCTTAAGGCCTTTCTTCAGGTCTGGGAGACCCTGTCAGCTTTGCCAGGTAGCAGGACCTAGTGACAGGGGTGAGGTTCCATTGTCTTCACAGTCCTGCTCAAGAGGAGGCCGGCTTAGGGACCAGAATCTCTGTGTCTCTCAATAACACCTGCTTCTCTTTTCTGAAACCCTCATCAAAACACCACCAATTCCAGAAGCTTTGTATTTTTATGGCTTTGGCTGTATGCTGGGATTTCAAAAGGGGAACTGGAGTCCCAGCTGCTCCACTTCCAATCTAGCTCCCTGCTAATGTGCCTGGGAAAGCAGCAGAGGATGGGCCAAGTGCCTGGGCCCCTGCACCCATGTGGGAGACTCAGATGGAGTTCCTGGCTCCTAGCAATGACCTGGCCTAGCCCTGGCCATTGTAGCCATTTAGGGAGTGAACCAGTGGATGGAAGATCTCTCTCTTTCTATCTCTCCTTCTCTCTCTGTTACTTTGCCTTTCAAATAAATAAATCTTAAAAAAAAGTTATGCCCTGCCTTTACATAGTAATAGCTAAAATCATAGCATTATATACTTGAAAACAGGTAATATTTCTGTAGGCCTGATATAGTACCAACATATGGGGCGTAAGAGGAGGCCAAAGTCATAGGGCCCCAGCCCGGAATCATGGGTAGGAGTTTGACTCCCAAAAGGCATTTGGGATCCCAAGTATCCCACGAGTGGAGAGATGGCAGAACCGAGCTCTCAGCCTGAACGGGGTGGAACAGCGCTCAGAGACTTCACAAAGCTATGGGGGTGGGGTTGGTGCAGTGGTTAGGACACTGCTTGGAACACTGACATCCGGGATTGCGGTACCTGGTTTGCGTCCCAGCTCTGCTCCAGATTCCAGCTCCCTGCTAATGTGCACCCTGGGAGGCAGCAGGCGATGGCTCAAGTGCTTGGCTCATAGGCACCCATGTGAGAGACTCAGACTGAATTCTCAGTTCCCAGCTTCAGCCTGGCCCTGACCCAGATGCTGAATGCATTCAAGGAATGAACCAGAAGATGAAGAGTTCTCTCTCTCTCTCTCTCTCTCTCTCTCTCTCTCTCTCTCTCTTCCTTTCAAATAGTTTTTTAAACTTTGTCAAAAGTTACAGTGGCTTTGTGGCCCGTGGTCCCTAGTGAACTGCTGCCATGGCACTGAGAGCGGCAAGCTGGGCCCAGCTTTAGGCGCGGACAGACATGTGTCAACCCCAGGGCTCGGCCGCAGTCACCGGTCGTCATCACAGGCAGAGCGCTGGTGGCAGGAGGGAGCTCCTGGAGGTTTGTAAATTGCCTGTGGAAAGGAAAGAAAGGAAATAGCTGGC